AACGTTTATTTATTTTTGTTTCCAATGTTGCAAGGGAATGTAAAATAAATACACATTTTAAAAAGAACTCTATAAGAAATATCACAAATTTTGCTGTATGTATCGATAGATTAATTTTTTCGATATTTTCCAATTTATTTGGAAAACTAGAGGTTTGAGACAATATCGAACCATATTACGTTAATACAATTGATTTATTTTGTGCAAATACTATTATTTTACAAAGTGATGCAATATAGATTTTGTTTTTAATTAGAAAAATAAAACGATTCCTCGGAGTACTGTGATCCTTAACTCTAAAACTACCGAGCAGTCAAACTGACTTCCTTGTATTCTTTTGGAGATGTATTATACGAACGTATTTATTCAGATTTTCATTGGATTATATTTTAATTTGAATATTACCAAATCAGCTTATTCAGTCATTTCTCTGAGAATCGTTTGTATCTCCTAAATAATTGTGAAAGGAGAAATCAAGAATAGGTCATTTTGACCTATCTGGTAGTTTGATTGTCAGTGTCAACGATCGCTCAACGCAAAGAGAACGACATAACCGTTAAAAATCGATTATTCCACAGGTACCGAATTTTTTCAAGTACTTACTGATCTTATAAAAGAACAACTTTATGACTCGGATTAATTCTATGCTCATGATGAAACCTTTGTTTTCGTCGAAACCTTCGTCTTAATGTCGCGAATATTTATTCTGACAGAAATATAAAAACAACTATATTGGAAAACGATTAATTGACTTTCTATGTATCGGTTATCAAATGGGTTCTTACGCAATAAACGTGCATCCTTCGAAATTGTTTTATTTTCAATCCTGTATGATATGTTTGTAAGTTCATTTCTCCTAGATTGATTATTACTGAACCGAAATGGTTTCGTTTTTCTATTAGTTTCATCGATATTTCAATCGACAATTAAATTGACATTGTTTCAGAGCACTCACTTTCATGTTTCAATGTTTGGACTATTCTATAGTATCCAGCCAGCAACATTTTTTACGCAAATTTGTTAAACTGAGAGTTTTTTGTGTCGCTGAATTAAAAAATAACAGCCTGTCGTTATGAAACGAGTACTTCCAAAAGAAAAGTGCCAAAATTAGTTTAGAAACTTTTTATTAGGAAACATATTACTAGGACAAATAATGACGTCACGTTGTTAAATTATAAATTCCAGAATCTCGAGAGCTATAATTAGAATATCCAAATCTATGAAAATTGGTTAGTCATTTATTAGTTATACATAATTAATCCGAAGAATGGTAAATTATTTTTGTCTTCTATTTATAGAATCGGTCATTTCTATGAAAAAAGACCATAATAATTGATTTCAGCTACAAAAAAATACTTCCGAAATGAGAAATTTGAAAAAAATTCTGCTGCCCGAATACTATAGTTCCTGTTGTTAACGGATGCAGAAAAACATTTCCCCGTAAATATCATGACATCCCGGCTAAGGAAATACGAACAGGGAAATAAATTGTCGAGCATGAACGGTGTTTTTATGAGGACGGCTGGATCCATCGGTCTCTTTTTGCGGGCATTAAGATTCCGTAAGAAACGACGATGTCGAAAAATAACACGGTCGTGACGATACCTTCTCCCAAGTAAAAATGCGAGACTAACCGCGATGTCAGTTCGCGTTGTTGCATTGTCCCCGCGATTGCAGTGTATATCATTCATTATTCAACACAGTGCGCCGAAGAAATTCAATGAACAATTGGTTTCTTGTCGTAGTAATATTTCTATGATATTGGTGGGCCATAATCGTTAATTTAGAACGTGATTTCTCTAGTCGGTTCATTATTTTGATGAATCTGTTAATTTTAATCTTTGTGCACTTACCTGTTATGAATTAGTGGAGTACTAGTTCAGCAATTTTTAATGTTAAATATAACTAATAATATTACATAAACTATTCAATAATATTATTTGACCTTTGAATAATATTAAATTGTATGGTATATAAACTTTTACATTAGTTTTTTAGTGACTAATGTATAAAATATTGGATTATTTTATAAGTGATACGGTTACACTACTTTTTCATTTAGAATGCATGAAAAAGTTTCTCCTGTGAATCAATGTCAAGCATAGTTTAAAAAATTATTTGTTATAATTTTTTATTATCTTTACATGTTACTTTTACATGAAGTCTAATAGTAATTATGTAAGGATTAACCTGAATTTTACAGTAAACTAATGCATATTTTCAACTTATTTATATATTGAAAACATCGCATTATTTGTAGGTTTATCTAGTACATAATTGAAGGCAAAGGTCGGCTTATATTTCAGGGCTTAACCAGAGAGTACAATGTTTTCTTATAATAAAAATTTTACGTACAACTAAACTAATAGTTAAGTTAACACTTTGCGGACGAATACAGCTACAGACTGTTGTTTAGTTATTTAAATTATTTGTTTGTAACTTCCTAGTTCAGATACCAAAGCTCGATGCTGCCAAAACGAAGACATTCGCTCTCAAAAGGTTAATATTAAGGTTATACGTATGAATTATATATTCGTCGCATTCGTAAACCTGCAGACTAGTTCGAAATAATATGGACTTCCATAACTGTTTTCAGTCTAGAAGAATGTTTCTGAAATAAACAACTACTTGTTACAACGAAATTTGAAAAATGTTTGTACAGGAGATATTTAACAAATTTTAATTTCTAATTTCATTATTAAAATATGTTTAGGTTGAAGTATTATCTAAACAAGTATATCATTGGGTTATAGTATTCAATATTTATTGTTGAAGTATTTATTTATAAGATTTAAGTTCTTTTACTTTATTTAATTTTGTTTAGCAATCAAAAGAATGAGGCTTTAACGCTTCCAAAAAATTCTACAGATTTTTAATTTATTTTCTCTGTTTTAGACCACCTATATTGTACTAATTTTATTATAAATTTTATAGACTTCAGTAGATCAAATTCTACTGTCGGCAATAACGTGATTTACAACATGACCAGCATCAATAATCTTCATTTCTTAAATGGTGTGGGAAGCACATAACTGGCTTGAATCTTAAACACAAATTTCAACAATATTTATTTCCTACGAAGAACTGCAAAATTAGAAAAATGATATTCTAATAAAACGTGATTTGACAAACTTAATAGTGTTAGGTATATTTAATTCTTCAAATAACAGAGGAACTTGGAAATTTCTACAAAATCCATTCATATAAACACATTACTCATACTTTTAATAAGAATTTGCAATCGTTCCATAATTTTTCTTGTTAGTAGGTTTTAAGACTTACGGTAACGTTTTTTCTCGTCTTCCATGTCTATTTCTCTATTTTCGACACTTAGGTCGTGGTGTTTCAGTATCATCGAAGTTCCCCATCATCAATGTATTTGTTCAGAAATCTTATGAGTGGTAACAGGATGTTTTAAAGACTTGGTGATGTTCATTGCGAACTCTGATATTGTTCGTTCATTCTTCCACGATAAGAGGAAAGGTCAATGCTACACAGATCTCTGACGCTTCATCTTCGTCAGCTACGAGTTTCAAGTAAGTTATGATGGATGCAAACATAAATTGCTGAAACTAGGTGAAGCTTTCTCTCCCTAGAATACATTTCCTTCTTCACTAAAAATATTCAATTCTGATTTCGATGATCAGAATTTAAATCTATATTTTCATGTGTATTTCGATAATGCGACGATAAGAAATTTATATATAAAAGCATGCACGTTTTATATACAAATAAATATATCATTTATTTTACACAAGGCGTTCAATCAATCAATTAATCGCGAGAAAGTATAAATAATTTTCACTTTCAAATAATTATGAATCTTCATTTCCCATTCCAAGCACATTAAATCCTTCCCAGATCCTTAGAACAAGAAACTGTCTGATTCGGCTATAAAGCAACGGTAACAGTCCTTTCACGTATGTGCACAAGGTATTCATGCAGTTGCTAGCCAACATTGTCTGTCGTAAATCGTAAGTACACGCGTAAAATGAAAGAGGAAAATGTTTTACTGCTTTTATAGGCAAAGTAATAGTGTATGTAAATCTTTTATGTCTGAAATATTTTTTGGAAAAACCTGAAGATCAGGTTTGAATATTTAAATGAAATATTACATATTTTTTTGCACAATATGCAAGTGCGTATCAAAAGTAATTTAATTATACGTGATACAATAGCCTTCAACATCACATAAGGTTAGAAATAAAAAATATGTCTAATTATAATTATAGGAAATTATAATTAGAAGTAAGCAATATTTTTTATCCTTGACCTTTCAAAATCTTAAGCGCCATTATTTCACAAATAATTATATTGGCCCTTACAAATGCATTCATATTCGTACAAAAATATATATAACATTACACATAAGAAATTCGAAATTGACTTTAAAAATATTAAAAACATAAGAATCTACTGACACCATTCTATGGAATTAGTCAAAATCAAAATGATTAAAAATCAATTTCGTTCCATCAAAAACATTCCAAACCCAAAATATGAACTTACACCATTCCATTAATTTCAAAGAATGCCAAAGGTTTTCCTCTTGCGTTTCCTTCGTGCCTCAACCATTAAACAGTACGCTGGCGACTACGTGAACACCGAATACGTGAATCCCAGCGTAATACTCCTAACACCGGCCACATCCGTGAACTTTAACAATCCCCGGTCGAACGTTAAAGAATATTCTCGTGGCGGCGGCCGGTTTAAGATCAATCGCATCCTCCCTGGAGGAGATCAGACACTCCGGAATCCCCCGGAAAAACCTTTCCCGGCCCGATTCCCATTCTTCACGTTTATCGGGCGGCTGTTTTAAAACCCGGGGATTCACCTACGGTCTTGATCCCCGGATTGTCAGCCGTCTGGACGATCAGCAGGAAGAGAGAGAGTCGAGGGACGACGCTCGTGCCAATGGGTGAGCACGATCGTCGGCTTACTTGCTTCCGGACGCGAATGCGGAATGGATCATTGAGCAAGCCGGGCTACGACTGTTTCAGGGGTGACCATCTTGTTATCGCTGACGGTGTTCCTGAACCTAGTCGCCGAGACCCTGCCACAGGTCTCCGACGCGATACCCTTGTTAGGTACATTGAGTTTCTGCAAGTATTGGCTTCAACAGAAAGTTTCGTCGGCAAAATGAATCTGTGATATTTGCGTCGGAGACTTTATGCTTATTGATCTTTTGCTTGAGACGAGAACGGTTGTGTCAAATCGTGGAATATACAGGGTGAGTCGTTTAATCGTGGCACTAAAATTTACTTGTCTGTTGGGTAATGTTCGAAACAAAAGTTGTTTGGCAGCGAGAGCTGAAACTATTGTTAACAAGTGAATTTCAGTGGCACGGTTGAATGATTCATCCTGTGTATTTCATATTGACAGATGAATAATTTATTAAGGAGAGAATAGGTTGTTGAGGAAATGAGTAATTTATTAGGAATGAATTTGTTTAATGAACATTCAGCTTTTCCGTTAATTTACTGACAAAGCTTTCTGTTCGGTTCAGTATTAGGTGGTAACATAAGTAAGTTCGGATGCGAGTATGAACGTGTTCTAATTTGATGGATTTAATTGTGTCTCGGATAATCTTGCGAAGAAAAATGTTAAAGAATATTGGTCATTGTGTAATGTATTGTGATAATTATTACACTTTTGATTTTTTAGATATTCTTTCATGTACATTTTGAGCAATTTAAAAGTTTCACATTTCTCCACGGACGCATAAAAACTCGCAGTCTAATTAACTTATTCCAAATGAGTTTAACTGAGTTGTACGAGAAGACGTTTCAGGTAAATTTAAATTCGGCACCGTTATTTCCGTGCTTCATGAAACTAATATTGGGACGGAAATGTTGGATACATTCGAACATATTTATGTTACAACCCAATAAAACGTGTGTCAGTGTGAGTCTCTATTGTTATGGTTGGAAACGCTTCTTTCCTGTTATTTTCCTACAACCATTATTTCCCTTCATTCTTTTTCTCTGCGTCCGATAACGATTTCTGATCGAAGTATCCGACGTTGACACGATCCTGAGCAATTTTCTTTCTCGCTGTTTAATTCTGGCTTGGGCCTTTTGCGTGCGATGTCGGTGTTTGGTGTTGGATTATTATTATGATCGAATGGTGGCCCTTTTTGGCCAGGAACTTCTTTTCTTTCGCTTTCGTCTTTCTTTTGTGTGGAATTGACGAATGAATGAATCAATTGATCAATTAATTGATGATATATGAGGGATGGTTTTAATACTAGAAATAATGTAGTAATTTTTTATAGAATGTTGCACTCGTCATATTGATGTTTTTTGATATGGTATTTTAGGAATTTGGAATCTTTGAATTTGGAGAGAAATATTATTTCAACTACATTTTATAATAGATTAATATAGTGTTGTGGTTAACATTTGGCGAAAGTGTTATGTTTGAAAGATTAATATTACAACGTTTCAAATTTGAAAATTTTCCTGATTTTTACAATCACATACTGTATTAGGTTGCTGTGTAATGTCTTTTGAATTACATTTGAGAATATCGTAGATTAATATGATGTTATGACATTCAGCAGAATTGATATGTTTGAACCATTGAATTGACGAGGAATGATTATACTAAACGTCATTCGGTAAGGAATTGTTTTCCTTATGAATAACATGTCACGAACGCATTTGACGTTTCTTTTATATATGTATAACATAATTTGAAAGATTTCGAGAAATATGAAAAATAAAATACGTTCACTTTTAATCCGAGATTTTGAGCAAAACTTCTAAGCAATAAAAACTCAATAAAGCTTTGCCAAGATACAACGTCACGTTATGAAATTTTTAAACTGAATGTGCAGTTTCCTGCGGATTCCACGGAAATTTTTATCGTCCGGCAATTTTTCCTAAGAATGTTCGAATTCACACGTTGCTACCCTGCTCCGAGCGCAAACAAATAAACAGTGTCGGAAGGAATTCCCTTTCTGTAGTTCCGAACGACTTTCCTTCAGCCGTAGTTCGAAAACTTCGGCCCCAACTTGCCAGGATTTAATTGAATAAGTTCGTGCCTGAAACGAGACAGGCCGGTGTCACCTTGCGCCACCGGAAATCCAGTAACCCGGGCACGCTCGTACACCTGGTAGGGCTTTATCGCTCGTTTTCCTACCAACTGTACAGAGTATTTCAAAAGATAATGTCACGATCCCATACCTTTGGTTCGATGGAAAAATTCGATCGCAAAATTCGCTTAACTTTGAAAAAAGGGTTAACCTCTTGAACTCGGGAGGCAATTTATAGTGCCCAGTAGGTTTGATACAAAAAAATTATAATATTCAGTATGAAGTTTCGTATATAATGTATCAGTTTGGCCGAAAAATCTTGTCGTTTTAATTTTCAATGTGACGTTTATAATATAATATACTAAAAAATATTTCAAAGCGGTAAAAAGTTTTCAAATCAAATACGCGACTTATAGTTCAGTGAAGTTTAATTTATTATAGTGAAATTTCTTTTTAAACCTGATTTAAAAGTGGGACGAGACATTTTGAGTAACTTAATAGTTGGACACGAAATATTCATGTAAAATAGTTCTATTCCTCCTTTCGTGTATTATTTCTATTGAATATAATGAATAAATTAATTGGTATTTCTTTAGGGAGATGAGCGTGTGTAAGGAAAAAACTTTCGAGTGCAAGAGATTAACGCTTTTATCGCTATATCGTATTGTATAATATTCGTTATGAAAGTTTGAAAGGTCTGAAATGTTTAAAAGGAACCGTGGGTCAAAAATAATTTGATTTTCTACAGATTACTGTTGAACTTCGTATAGGAGAGTACAGTGCTGCAAATACCTATCATCAGATGTGGATTTATAATGCAAAGTTAACCATTTTTTTCAAAGTTAAAGTTAATTTTGCTATCACTTCAATACATCCTTTTCTATCAAATGAAAGATGTATTGTAGAATCACTCTATGGTGATCATGACTTTTAAAACACCCTGTACACATCTGAAATAACATCAGTCTGGTGAGTTTCATATCGATTATATACTTTGAACTTGTGTTGTCTGCACGGATCATATCCATTCATTCCCAATATTTACGAGAAAATAGGAACTTGATCTTGGAAAGCTACCCTAAAATTGTACCAACGATTCAATGCAGAAGTAGAGTACAAATGAATTAATAATGGTTGCTGATATATGTTTAAACGACATTTATTCACTATTTATTCAAACTCATCCCATAAGTAATGTCGTTATTTAATACTAAATTCTAATGTAAAAAATTATTACTTACATCTTCTTTTAATCGTCGCCGTATCGACCATCATGCGCACGACCACTTTCATTTTTCGATTTCTTTAATGCCATTTTCTAAATATCTAACACAGAAGAAGAATTTAACGAAGCAACATAAGAAACGAAATTGCTTATCGGATGACTTAATATCATTTATAATTTTCAATTTCTGACATCTTATGGGTCATAATGAAAACAACAAGGACACAGTAATCATTCGTGTATCGATTATATGGCTGTTTAATTCCTCGATTCATCTTGCTCGCCTTTAAAATACCCGTTCGGTACCACGATCTTCAGACTTAGCATGGCTCTCAACTGAAGAACAAAGCCGTGTTGTCGAATTTCCGCGTATTGGACAGCTGTCGATTCGCGCGAACCTTTTTCCCGTATTCTTCGCGTTCACCGTCCCTCGTCTTCGTTTACCTCGACGTTCGTTTTATCGGCGATCGAAGTAAATTAAAATAGTTCAGTCGTCCACATCGTTATGAATTCGTTGTCAACCGACGTCTTTGTTTCAGCGACGCGTTCCCTTCACCCCGCGACCCGGTCAATATTTCGCGTCGACTACCCCCGACCCCCAGTTCCATCCCCGTTCATCCCTTCCGCTTTTCCGCGCCTCGGGTTTCAAAGAAGCCCACGATGCTTCCTTCGCAGCAGATAATATTCTAGGTATTGGAACGCGAAACGATCGGGAAACTAATTAATCCTTTCATAGGCAACGAGAATTACGCAATCCTATTATATAATTTATTTATATAATCTGTGTAATCCTTATTTTTTCTAATTATATCAGGTCTTTATTTATACTTAATAATTCGTATGAACAAAATAAAATATTTTTCTTGCCCCTTCTGTGTCTAAGGGATAGAGTAAAAAATCATTAGACTGCATGATGATAAACAATCATAATATTTCATATCTTATTTTTAAGAAATTTAGGTTTTTTTAGAAAAGTGTAAATTTTGTTTATGAAAGGGTTAAAGTTGATTGGAGAGATGTTAGTGGATCATTCCGAGAGGGAAACGGAAATTATTTGGTTATTTTTTAATATTACATAGATTGAATTTTCTGATGACTGAGATATAAACTGAAACTTTTTGAAAATGTAACTGACGTTGTTTTGTCATGCTATCACAGATATTAGATGTAAAAATTTATTCGGTGTCCTTAAATAGAATTACAGTGGACCCTCGATTTTCGCACATAATTGGTTCCTGAAAGTGTGTGCAAATGTTGAATGTTCGAAAGCAGAAGGATGTAAAAATATATGCAGCAAAAACTGTGTTTTAAAGTATTTATTTATCAATATGTATACATAATGAAGTTAAAGAGGCGTGTTTAAATGCTTTCGGGTGTTTTCTTTATAAACTTATTAAGAGTTAGTTAAATACCATTCTTTTCTTTCTTTTCTTGATGAAAATTTCTATAACATGCTGTGTCTTTCTGAATTGCCCTACGTATTTGAAATATATACGTTCTCCATTGGGATTACATTCTTCTTGACATTTTTACCAGCTTCTTCCTCCTCACATTCATTGTGTATTTTATTGTTACTCAATTGTTGCTCAATTAAGTATTCACTTAACAGCGGTGCCGAATGAGATTCAATCAACTCATTAACATCTTCATTGTCGACGTCCAAGTTTAGCTCATTCATTCGGCTAACTATTTTATCTGTGATAGCTTCCGGTGTTCCTTCAAAATTTATAAAATCACTCATCATTTGTGGGCATAATTGTTTCCAGGAACCTTTCATTGTCTTCAATATTGTTTTTAAAAATGTGCAAAATAGCGAATTGTGCGGA